TAGCATCGCATCACAAGCTTCTCCGTGTCGTGGCTGCCCTTCTTGCCGCCCGCCGCACCCTGCGCGCCGTTCTCGCCGGTGGTGATGGTGGTAGTGCCGCCACCCGCGGCAGCCGCAGCCGCCTTGCCGGCCGCCGCGCCGCCGTTGGCTGCCGCGCCGGGGGCGGCCGCCGCAAGCGACCCCCCCCCGTTGGCGGCGCCGCCTCCCTCCCCATCCTCCATCTTTGCGTCTGGGGGGCTTCCAGGCGAGGTGCTGCCCTTGTTGGGGCCCTCGGTCATGCGCCGCTTGCCAGCTGGCGCCGCCTCGTCTGCGGCAAGGCCAGGGCGGGCAGCCGGGCGTCAGCAAGCGGGCCCCGGCAGCGCGCACGCACGCGGCACGTGGCCGCTGCGTGTGCCACATAACGCCGCGCAGCGCCGCGCGCCGGCGGCGTGCCGGCCCACCCCACCGCTTCAAGCTCAGAGCGCGACACAAGCCCATCTGCAGCACAGCGCCCAGCGCCCTGTAACCCCGACACAAGCCCAGGTGCCAGCCAGGTCCTCACCGTCTTCTGGGATGGGCGACTCGGCGCGCCGCTTGTGCCCCTCGCGCTCCCCCGCCGCCTGCGGCGACAGCATGCCCTGCACGCCACGCCGGCCAGCCAAGCCGCATGCCACGCATACAGGTGAGCGCCTCGACATACCACGCACATAATTGAGTGCCCCGAGCGCCACATGCCAAGGCACACAAGCCGGGCTGCGCATGGCGGACAGGCCTGCCCCGGGAGGCAGGCGACTGCCCCTGCTAGCCCCCGCGAGGTGCACAGCAATGAAAAAAAGAAAGAAAAAAACGTAGCAAAGCAAAAAAGTCTGCAGGGGGCGGCCACAGGAGCAGCAAAGGGAAAGGGAGGACACAAGGGGGGGCTGCCCATCTCACCGGGTGCCCCAGGATGGGCATTGAGGCCACCTTCTGCATAGCGGCAGACACGGGCGGGCGGAAGGCGGCCGGGTGGATGCCGCCGTACGGGTTGAGCGGCGGCATCTGCGCGCACACAGACACGAGGTGGGGCGGGGTGGGGTGGGAGGGCGAGGCGGAGGGCATGGAGGGCATGGGCAGGATGGCGCAAGGGGCGGCTAGCAGAAGCGCCGCGCAGCTGGTGCTGGAGCGGAGCAGCAGTGCGCGCTGCGGCAGCCCCCGCCCCCAATGCAACCCAGCTTCAGGTTCTCTAAGGCTCAGCTGCCCACCTGGAGCATGTGATGCGCGTACATGGGGTGCGCATAGGGCATGGCATACGCCGAGGCGGCGGCGGCGGCGGCGGCCGCGGCGGCGGCCGCCGCCATGGGTCCGCTGTGGTGCCGGTGCAGCATGCCGCCCGCCGCCGCCGCATGCCGCAGCTTCTGCTCTGCCTCCTTGCGCACCGCTTGAGACTGCGGGGCAGACGGGCGAGCGGCGGTCGGGCGGAGGCCATGCAAAGGATGAGCGGTGACGGGAGGCGAGGCGGTGGGACGCAGGCCGCGCGCCAGCCCCCTCCCACTCTCCCAAACCCGTCTGGCCCCACCACCCCAAACAACCACCTGCCCCGCCACCTGCCCCAACAAAGCACCCGCAGCACACACCGCCTGGTTTCAGCCAACCACTACACGTAAACAATAGTAACAATAACAGCAGGCGCACCTTCTTCAGCTGCGCCTTCACCTCCGCCAGCTCGCCCCGCAGCAGCCGGATCTCCTCCTCGCTGGTGGCCAGGCCCTCCAGGTCGGCATCCCCGCCCGCCCCCGCCTCCGCCCCCGCCTGCGCCTCCGCCTGCACAGCGCCGCTGCCATCCGCCGCCGCCGCCGCGCTGCTGCCCACCGCGGCGGCCGCCGCGGGGCTGCCGCCGCCGCCGGCCGCCGCAGCCTCGCCGCCGCCGGCGTCGGCCAGCTGACGCTTGAGGCGCACGATGGCGTCGGCGGCGCGGCGCCCGGCGTCGCGCTGCCGCACCAGCGCTTCCTCCAGCGCCGCCACCCGGTCCTCCGCCTCCTTGCCCCTGATGCGAGCCTCCTCCACCTCACCCTCAAGCTGCTTGCACTCCTCCCGCAGCTGCCTGCGGCATGAGCGGCGCCGGGGGTGGGTGGGGGGCAGCGGGGGGGCAGCGCAGCGGCCGGGGAGGCGCACAGGTGAGGGCGAGACGGAGAGAAGGAGAGGGAGCGGAAGGGCGGAAGGTAGAGAGGGGGAGGGGAGAAAGGCAAGAAGCGCGGCGCGGCTCCCCACACCGCCCCTTTCTGCCCTTGCACCTCCCAGCGCCGGCAAGCCCCGCAGGCGCCCCACCATCGACGCACGCCGCCCCACCCCACACCACGCCAACACCCCACCACGCACCCTACCCCCACACCCCACCACCACCCCACCACCCCACCCACCTCATCTCGTCCTGCAGGCGCCGCAGCTCCGCCGGGTTGGCCATGCGCGTCAGGTTGGCGGCGCTGCTCTGCTTGTGGAAGTGGCGCAGCAGGCCCTGGCGGAAGCTCTGGTGCTCGTCGCCGCCGCCCTGCGGGTGGAGGGTGGGACGGTGGGTGGGTGAGGGTGGGTGGATAGGGGTGCCTGGCCAGTAGCGGCGTGCCTGGCAAGGGCACCAGCTGCAGCGCGCGGACTGGGAGGCATGCGGGCAGGCATGAATGCAGGCAGGCGGGCAGGGCAGGGCGGGGCTTGCCTCGCGCGTGGCATCGTTGCCGCCCTCCCCCTCCCCCTGCCCCTCGGTGTCGCCCTCCGCGCTGCGCGTGCTGTGCTCACGCTCCGGCGCTGCAGGCGGGGAAAGGGGGCGGGGCAGGGGGCGGCGGCGTGGCGGTCATGCCCCACACCTCTGCCACCCCCCTGGCAGGGCCCTGGCGGCGCATGCAGCCAGGCCAGCCCACAGCTTGCATCCCTCGCAGGCGGGTCGCCAGCTGCCCCGCCCTCCTCATGCCCCAGGCCTGCCTCCCTCTCCCATACAGCCCTCCTCCTGCTCCCCTCCAGCTCCCTGCACACCGCACACCCCACCCCACCCCTGCCCCCGCCCCCACCCACCCCCTTCGTGTATCTGGTGCATGGAGGGCAGGGCGTGGAAGGGCGGGTAGGCGTTGAGGATGAGGGAGTCGACGGTGCCGGTCTGCAGGAGGAGGGGCGGCACGGCGGGCGGGGCGGCGTTCAGCGGGGTCGGCAGGGGGCAGGGCTGCTCAGAACGGAGGGATGGAGGGGAGGAGAGGCTTCCTGCCCCTCAGCAGCCCCCGTAGCTACAACAGGGCCCACACAGCAACAGGCCCACACGCACGCGGGCATACACCCTGCCACCTCATCGCCACGTCAGCGCCGCCCACCTGCGCCAGCACCGGGTTCTCCAGAATCATGCTGACGGAGTTGCGCCGCAGCATGCGCCGCCGCGCGCTGCCCACGCGCCCGGCCGCCCCCTCCTCGTCGTCTTGCTGCAGGAAAGGGCGGCGGGCAGAGCGGCGGCGGCGGCGCCGGGCAGCTGTCAGAACCGGCGTTGAGCTGTGGCCTGCCCCGGGCCGCCACCCTCCCACAATCGAGGAGAAGGCGGGCCCCGCTGCCGTCACAACATCACCAGCCCCCGCAACCTCAGCAGCCGACCGCCAGCTCAGCGCCGCCAGCTCAGCGCCGCCAGCTCAGCGCCCCATCCGCCAGCTCAGCGCCCCACCTGGAAGTCCTCCATGGCGGCCGCCAGGCTGTCCACCTCGTTGTGGCTGGCAGCCCACATGCCCATGCGGCTGCGCTGGCGCCCCAGCTGCGCGGTGGCGTAGTGGCGGGAGGTGACGGGCGGGTCGCCGCCCTGCCCCGCGGGCTCCAGCGCGCCAGCGTCCGCGCCCGTGGCCGCCTGCAGGAGAGCATCGAACAGCTCGCTGCCGCCGCTGTTTCGGCTGTGGGTCTGCAGGTTGCCGGCGGAGGGCGGGCGGCGCAGCGCGGCGCCCGAGGCCACGCGCTTGAGGCCGCCGCCGCCGCCGCTCATGTGGCCCGCCGATGCCACGCGACGCATGCTCTCCCGCGGAGGGCTGGCCGGCAGCACGCGCTGCTGGTTGCTCAGCGTGTAATGAGACGCGTCGGCGCGTTCCTGTAGGGCAGGCGCAGGGGGGCGGGGGGCGGGGATGTCGGGCATGTTGGCGGCATGTTGGCGGGGACGGTGGCAGGCGCGCATGCTGTCACCGCAGCCGCGGCCCTCGGGGCGGTGCAGCCGAGCTCTGCCCCCCACGCAGCGCCCCAGCCCGCCTCCACAGCTGCGCAGCATGCGTCGCACACCGCCTCCCCCACACAGCGCCCTCAGGCTCGCAGGCAGGCTGGCGGGCAGGCAGGCTGGCTGGCTGGCAGGCAGGCAGAGGTCAGTCCAGCGCCGCGCGCCGGCGCCGCACCTTGCGCCCCGGGTCGTCGCACGCGCACGCCGCCTGCCCCGCGGTCACCAGGTTGGACTCGTTGCCATTGCGGGTGTCCACAATCTCAATGTCCACCAGGCAGGGGCACATGCCCAGCACCTCCAGGTTGTACCGCGTGACTGCGGTACAGGCGGCACGGGCACGCGGCGGCGGCGGCAGTGCCGTGAGCGGCGCGCCAGCGCAGGCGGGCGGCGCCAGAGCAGGCAGGTGCGCCCGAACCGACGCCGCTACCCCAGCTCCAGCCCCCCTCGCCCCCGCCACCCCCCACCCACCCGTGAACAGGTAGTTGTTGTCTGAGCCGTATCTGTTGCGATCGAGGTTTGTGGAGTAGTGGCCGCCCTCGCCGTCGGACAGCGAGTGGCGGCGCAGCTCGTCGGCCACGCGGTGCGTGCCCGTGGACAGCTCCACCACCTTGGTGCGCCGCGTGTTGGTGGACAGGATCTGCGGGGGAGGGTGGGAGGGAGGGGCGGGCAGGGTGATGTGTTGGTGGCGGCGATAGGGTGGGAGGCGGGCAGGGCGAGGCGGGCAGGGCCGTTCGGGGTGATGTGTTGGTGGGGAGGGAGGCGGGGAGGGCTCGGCGGCAGGGAGGGAGGCGGGGAGGGCGCGGCAGCAGTCCCGGGGTCGCGCCCGGAGGGTGGACAGCTTGGTTGATGACGAGGGCGAGGGGCACGCACGGCAGCGCCAGGCAGGCCAGGCCAGGCGGGCGGCGGCTGGTGCCCCCCCACACCTGCAGCACGTTGCGCGGCCGGTCGGTGCGGCTGGCCTCCACGCGGTGGATGGTGGCCAGCACCTGGAGGAAAGCAGAGGTGACTGAGGCGCACGCCTCGGTGCCTGCACGGGTTTGCAGGGGTGGCAGCGGCGGCATTGGGTCGGGGGCAGCGGGAAACGCACGGCAGCACATCCCGCTGCGACCAAGCGCGTGCCCAATCCCTGCGGCTGCACCGGCGCCGCGCCGCGGCTGCTGGCCCGTCCCCCTACGGCGCCTGCTGTGCGACAATGGCGGCAGCGCGCCGCTGCCGGGGCACGCGGGCATCCCAAGGCTGCGGGGCCGCCCGTCCTTCCGCGGCGTCTGCTGCAGGCTGGCCCTGCCCCCGCCCTCAGCTGACCTTCCGGTAGGTCTGTCCCCTCCTCCAGAGGGCTGGTGTAGTGGTGCCATCTAAAGTGGGCCTTGTATCTGCACCAGCAGCGCAGCAGGGGAGCGCAAACCTCGGAGGCCAGGCGTGCATGCTTGCAACGCGCCCCGGCACCACCCAGCACCCAAACCTGGCATGGGAACGGTGTCTGCCCCTCGGCAGCAGAAGCTGCAGACGGGGCGCAGATGCCCAGCACCAGCGATGCAGCACACACGCAAGCAGGCGTGCGCGGGCGGGGCGCCGCCACCGCCGGCGCCGCCACTCACAGCAGCTGGTTGTTCGTGGGCCGCGAGCGCCCGGGCGGCTTTGCTGTGCCGTTCATCAGGCTCCTGCTGCCCGCGCCGCCGGGTGGCCGCTGCTGGTCTGTTGGGACGCGCCGCCTTTCACTCCAACCCAAGCTGGTCCCCTGCTGCAACCGCCTGGCCGCGCCCAGCTACTGCCGTGCACCTAGAAGAGACGGAGCCCGAGCGCCGAGCCTATACCCGCCCACTGACAACTGCTTCCGGGGGCCCGTGTCGACGCCGACACCCAAGCGCCAGGATGGGGCGGAGCAGGGCCCCAGGCAGATCTCGGGCGGCTTTCCAAGGCCTTTGAAGCACGACTGCGGCGCGGGAGGTTGCCGCGCTGAGGAGGGCGGGATGGGCTTTGGCGCACAAATGGAAGCGGGGCTTAGGGAGAGAATGTGCTGCCGCAACGAGCTTCCGTGGAGGTGTGGGACGCGGGGAATGCGGGCACATCGCGCGATGCCGGCCATGAGGGCGCCCGCAGGGCTGCTGCATGATGGGAGCGAGGAAAGGCCACGAGGCTCAAACTGCAGGCTCAGGCCTCTGCAGCGCATTTCAGCATGTGCATTACACATTGACATACTGCTGGAGGTTGTGGAAGGCTGCTGGGGCCTGCCCGACCAGTCATGTCGGCCGCCGCCATGACGGGCTGTATGAGCTTGCACGGCCCTGCGTAGGCTACAGGGAGATCCAATGCGCGTTGAAGATCACCTAGAAACCAGCGGGGCCAAACAGGAGTTTTAACCGCGGGAACGGCGGCAGTCAACACGCGCCGTGTTGTTCAGGCCAGCGAGCAAGCATGCAGCCCATTACAGCAGTTGCTAGCACCGCAGGCCTCAATGTCATCTTTCTCAGATGATAGTTGCAGCCCCCACTCCGTCCCTCCCCTAGAAAATGGGCACCGGCCTCGACACGACGCGGTGCGCCTCCTCGCAGCCACCCATCCAATGCCTCAGCCTCACCGTGATGGCGGACGGACACATGTTGCAGCAGCAAGTATCAGAATTAGTAAGGCCTTAGGAACGAAGACGCCCAGCACCCATATGCCGGCTGGCAGGGCTGGTTTTCGCCGCGGCTCACAGGAACCTGGGCTTGAGCACAAAGCCGCCGACCTGCTTGATCCAGTCGTGGCAGATGCCGTAGTCGCGCAGCTGCTTGCCGTTCTCGCACGTCTGCCCCATGAACACCAGCTCCTGCTCCTCGGGGGGTGGCCCCGGGTGCAGCGGCGGCTCGCCCTTGGCCGCGGCGCTGGCCGCCGCCGACCCCGCCGCCCGCTGCTTCACCTCCAGAATGCCAGTCTCCATCTCGCACTCCAGCAGCTCAAACTGCTTGCGCTCCTGCCACCGTCCGCTGCGCACCTCGACCAGGATTTGGACCTGCAGAGCAGTGCGGCGGTGAGGCATGGGCGGCGGGTTACGCGCTCGGCATGATGGCAGGCGGGAGGTTCTCTGCAGCTTGCGGACAGGCAGGATCGCTTTCCATGCGGCTGAAATGCGCACCATGCCGCAGGATGGGCTGCAAGCGTCAGTCAAAGCTACCCAGAGCAGGCAGTGACCAGTCGACTTTCGGGGCCTGAATTGTTGTCCGGGGATTGTCACAGACCAGATCGATGATACTCAAGCTATCGAAGCAAGCGGCAGCCTGCCAGGGCAGCGGAAGGGCTCCATCCAAAGAGGAGTGCCACGGCGGCAGGGTTTCATCTCACGGTTTCATTGGGCGGGAAACCCCGATCGGCGTAGTCACTTGTCCAGGCCGATTCGTGCTGCGGGCTGCTGGGCAGCATGCTGGAGCCAGCAGCGTGAGCGGACATGCACCGCCCCATCCCGCCCTGTCCAGACAGCAGCAGCGGCTTCAAGGGCGCGGAGCCGCCCATGTTGCTCAGAGCTCTGCGATGGCGGCGACCAGCGCCCTCGGCCCTGCAGCTGCCCGGGAGGCGGCGGGCGGCGCACAGCAGCAACGGCCAGCGCCCGCACGGCTCCGCCGTGACCTCTGCCAAAGCCAAGGAGCGCGACAGCGCTGCCGATGGTCCCCAGGCAGCAACAAACGGCGCGGCGTCCGAGGCAGCCGCGGCGCCCGCCGTCGACCTGCAGCTGCACGCGCCGCGGGGCGAGCTGTGGCAGGGCGCCGCGGCGGCGGCGGCGCTGCCGCGCCAGTGGCTGGCCTTCAGCGACCTGCACGTGTCCCACAAGACCCTGGCCACCTGCCTGCAAGTGCTGGAGCGGGTGCACGAGGAGGCCAGCAGGCGCGGCGCCGGCATCCTGTTCCTGGGTGAGACGCTTCCGCCGCCGTGGCCGGGAGGGGCGCCGTCGATGCCATGCATGCTCATTCGTGCACATCGCCGCCCACGCGGCGGCGGCGCCGTGCCCAGGGTGTGCCCACTCCTGCGCCGCGCCATGCCGCATCCCGAGCCGCCGCCAGCGCACCCTCACATCACGCCTGCCCGCATGGCGTGCCTGCGCCGCCGCAGGCGACTTCTGGCACATGCGAGGCACGCTGCCTGTGGAGCCGCTGAACCAGGTGGTGCGCCAGCTGGCGGCCTGGCAGCAGCCCACCCTCATGCTGCCAGGCAACCACGACCAGGTGTGCCGGCTAGGCGGCCAGCTGGTGCCCAGGGCCCGGGGCAGGGGTGGGTGGCAGGGCGACCGCAGGCAGCAGCAGCAGCAGCAGCAGCGCAGTGGTGGGCTGCCAGCAAGCTGAGCTGTTGAGCGTGTTGGTGGGCAGCTGTCGCGCCGTGCTGCGCTGCCTGGCGTCACAAGCACTGGCTGTGGTCTCGGCAGCGTCATGCTGGCGGTGCCGGTGCCGTGCTTCATCATCGCCATGCCTGCACCGTGGCTGGCCCGCAGGTGTCGCTGGGTGGGGAGGTGCATGCCCTGACGCCCCTGGCCGCAGCCAACCCCGTCATCCACGCCTTTGACGGTGGGTTGGTGGGCGCGGCGGCGGCGGCTGGCAGAGGCATGGGTCGCCACAGTCGCCTCAGCCTGTGCCTGCCGGCAGGTCCACACAGCTGGCAGCTGCGCTGGGGCGTGCCAGCTGCCAGCCTGCCGCACTCCTGCTGCGCGCCTCTTCTCAGCAGGTGCCCCCTGGGCCCCGCCCTGCTGCTCCTGCCTGTGGATGCAGGCCCCGCCCTGTTCCTGGATGCCCTGTGGCTGCCCTTCCGTCGCAACCGAGGCGAGCTGGAGGCGGCACTGGCGGCGGCCTCCTCCCAGTCAGCAGCCCACGCTGGGTCAGCAGCTGAGTCAATGGCTGCGTCGGCAGCGACGCATGCAGCCAGTGGCGTCGATGGCGGCGCCAGTGGCGGCGCCGGCGGCCCCCTCCTGCAGGCCGTGTTTGCCCACACCGACATTGTGGGGGCGCTGATGAATGAGGCCTACCAGGCACACGACGGGCTGCCGCCAGACCTCTTCCCGGTCAACATACCCACATACACCGGTGCGCCGGCGGCGCCGCATCGGCTCTGTGCCGTCTTGCTAGTTGGCGCAGCGGGGAGGGGAGAGGCAGGGACGGTCGCCGCTGCCTGCTGGGGCAGCGCCATCACGACCGACGCAGCGGCGAGCTTGGATTGCGGTCTCTGATTGTGCTGGCGCGTGCTGGCGGGCTCTTGTTGCGCTGCTGCAGGGCACTACCACAAGCCACACACGGTGGCAGGCAGCCGCATCACGTACGTCGGCTCTCCCTACCAAGGTGCGCATGGGTTTAGGCATGCGCACCTTGCGTTACTGGGGAGGCCCTGCCGCAACTTCCGTTGCTGGCGCGTCCCGGCAGCAGCCCTGTGCCCACCAATACGTGGCGGTCTGCCTACCTCCTGGCTGACTGCCTGGGGCATGGCGCCGTGCAGTGACTCGGGCGGAGGCGGGGCAGCAGAAGCGGCTGCTGCTGCTGGACCGAGATGCCGGCTGGGAAGTCGCCGAGCAGGTGGACCTGGACCTGGGACCGCGGTATTTTGCTGCCGCTGCGGTACCCGCCCCGCCACAGGCCGAGCCTGCAGCGGCTGCGGCGGATGCTGCCGTGGCAGAGGGCGCCGAGGCCGCACAAGCCACAGAGGCCGCCAGCCTGGATGCTGTCACAGCAGGGGAGGAGAGCGCGGCGGAGGCTGCGGCGGCGGCAGAGGCGGCGGCAGCGTTCGAGCTGCAGCTGCCAGACGGCCTGCGGCGCGGCGACCGCCTGCTGCTGACGCTGCCGGCAGCCGCCGCCAAGGAGCACCAGAAGCGGCTGCGGAAGCTGGAAAAGCAAGGTGCCTGCTGCCCGCCCGCATTGCCTGCCTGCATGCTTTCCTGCATCACCTGCCTGCCTGCCTGCCTTGCCTTCTGGCGTGCCGATACAGCTGTGCAAAGCCTCCTGAGATTGTCGTCAGCACCGGCTCGCCCTCTGAGATTGTTGCCAGCACCAGCTTGCCGTCACCCGCCATCGTGTAAGCTTGCGCCTGCAGGGGTGGAGGTGGAGGTGCTCACGCCGCCCGAGGCGGCGGCGGCGCCGCGCATCGGCGCTGCCGAGGGCATGGGCCCGCTGCAGGTGCGGGAGGTGCTGTGCCGGGAGCTGCTGCTGCGCCTGCCTGCCGCAGCAGCGGGCTGTGGCCGCAGATGGCAGCCGTGGAGGCCTCGCTGCCACAGCCTCCGCGCTGCTACTTGCCATCTGTTGCTGCCACCCTCCTGCCGCCGTGGCCTCGCCTGCTGCCCCGCCTCACCTCCTCCTCCCGCCCATGCAGCTGTGGGAGCGTTACTGCGGCTGGAAGCGCCTGCCGGAGGCGGCGGCGTCGGCCGGAGCCGGGCTGCTGCGCTCCCTGCTGGGTGGCGCGGCCGGCGGCGGCGGCGCGCCGCTGGAGGCGCCGCACACCAGCCTGGAGTTTCAGGCGGTGGAGGTGGAGGGTTACTTTAGGTGAGGTGGCGCCTGGGCAAGGTGGGGGCAAGGTGGTTCAGAGGGGAGCATTCGGGCGCCTTCTCACCTAAACGGCTCAGCTTGGCTGCCAACCATGCAGTCCTGGGTGCCTGCTGCCCTCCCTTCCCGCTTGCCCGGGGCCCTCACTCCGATTCCCGGCTCCCCGGCTGCCATTCCCCACCCCTGCCTGCCCCACGCCCGCCCCCGCAGCTTCCGGGAACCTGTGCGGTACCGGCTGGGGGACCGAGGGCTGGTGGTGGTGACGGGGCAGGTGCAGGGCAGCGCCGAGGCGGGGCTGGAGTCTAACGGCGCCGGCAAGACGGCGCTGATGATGGCGCCGCTGTGGGCGCTCACGGGCGGCGTCGACGCGCGGGCAGAGGTGCGTGGTGTGGTGTGGTGTGTACCTCCAGGCTGGATACCTCCAGCATTATGTACCGCAGGTATCTCCCATGCCCCATTCCCTCGCTCCCAGCGGGTCCAGAGAGCCAGGGAGCGCCAGGTGTCGCCACCCCCTTCCCAGACGCGCTCTGCCCCGACCCTGCCGCACCCGCAGGGCTCTGCCGCCACGGGCGGCCGCGCCGTGCTGGCAGACGTTGTGAACGAGGACAGCCGGCGGGCGCGGGTGCGGGTGGAGGGGTCGGCCAACGGCGCGCCCTTTGTCGTGGAGCGTACCGCCAGCCGCAAGTGAGCTGGGCGGGCGGCGGGGCCTGAGCGTGTGTGTTTTGTGTGGCTGTGTGTGTGTTTGTGGCTGTGTGGCTGTGTGGAGTGTGGGGGTGGGGCAGCTGTGTGTGTGAGAGTGTGTGTGTGGCTGTGTGTGTGTGTGTGTGGAGGGGGGGGGGGGGTGCGGAGGCTGTGTGCGGGGCTGTATGTGTGTGTGTTCTAGCAGCAGGGGAGCAGTCCACGAGAGGAAGGGGGCCTGGCTTGCCTGGCTGCCTGCCTGCTTGTCGGTTGTTGCCTGAGGAGAGCCGCGCCTGCCTGCCTCCCCTCGCAGGAGCTCCTCGGTGACCTTTGAGCTGGATGGGCAGGACATGACCACACAGGTAGGCATGTGCAGAGCTGGGGGCTGCTGTTGCACCAGCAGCGGCAGGGGGTCTGCATGTGTGTGTGGTGGCGGTGGGCAGGCATGGTGGTCGGGCGGCCTCTGCACAGCGCGGCAGAGTCGGGGGCAGCTGTCGGGACGCGGCTGGCGCCGCGCTGGCGCCCCTGCAGAGCCCCCGCAGCCGGCCGCAGCGTCTCACTGCTCGCTGAGCCTGCCTGCTCGCCTCCCGGCCGACCCTGGTGCACCCCTGCCTCCCTGCCGACCCTCCCGTCCCCCTGGCAACCCTCCCCGCTCGCCCTCTTGCCCCATTCCTCCCCATCTGTCCTGCCCCCCGCAGGAGAACCGACTCACCCAGGAGCGCATCGACGAGGTGCTGGGGGCGGAGCTGCTGGGGCGCGTGGTGTTCTACGGGCAGAGCGACATCACCGCGCTGCTGGAGGCAAGGAGCCGGGCCGCGGGTGCTGCTCCTGTTGGGGGTGCATGCAGGGGCGGCAGTGGTTTTGCCTGTCGTCACGCATGTGACGGGGTGCCAGTGGTGGTGGCTTTGCAGGCGGAGCCGGCATTTGGCCGGCTGCACTGCTTCCAACTCGGTTACTGTGCAGCATGTACCGCTCGCCACTGTCACGTGTGGTACTGATCCATACCGCATCGTACCGCAGGCCAGCGACCGCGCCTTCAAGCAGGAGCTGAGCAAGCTGGTGGACCTGGATGTATGGGCAGCTGCTAAGGAAGCCAGCCGTGGGGAGCTGAGCGGAAGGTGGGACCGTGGTACCGGCGACAAGGGAGATGGAAGAAAGACAGCGGGGTTTCGGTTTCGGTTTCGGTTCGGGGTTGGGTAGGGTTGGTGTGGAGTGATGGGCGCCTAGTGGCAGAGGTTTCAGAGTGTGTGTGTGTGTGTGCACGCTGGTTGAGCGCTGCACCGCCGCTCACTTTCCTCCTGTCTGTCTCTGGTCCTTGGCGACATGCGCAGGCGCGACGCGCTGCGGGATGCCAGCGCCACGCTGCGCGAGCGGCAGCAGCAGGCGGGCTCGCTGCGGCAGCAGCTGGAGGCGGCCCAGGCGGCGGCGGCGCAGTGGGAGGCGCAGGCGGCGGAGACGGCGGTGGGGCTGCTGCAGGAGGCGGCTGGGCTGCTGGGCCGGCTGCAGGGGCAGCAGCAGGCGCTGGCGGCCGCGGTGGCTGGCAGCCAGCGCCAGGCTGCAGGCCTGGCCTCCCAGCTGGCACAGCTTGAGCCTCAGGTGCAGGAGCTGGAGCAGCAGCGGCAGGCGGTGCTGGAGCAGCAGCAGCAGCAGGGCGCCGCGGGCGGCGCCGTCGGCGCGTCCGAGGTGGCGGCGGCAGAGGCGCGGCTGGCTGACGCGCAGCAGCAGCAGGCGGCGCTGCAAGAGGAGCAGCAGCGGCGGCAGTACGAGCTGGGCGGCGCCTCGGCGGCGGCAGCCGATGCCGCGCGGCAGGTAGCGGAGGCGCATGCGGCGGTGGCGGCCGCCTCCTCTGAGCTGACGGCCTTCCTGCGGCGCCACCCTGGCGCCGCCGCCGCCAGCTCAGCGGCAGCCGCTGAGCTGGAGGCGCTCCTGGAGCAGCAGCGGCTGCAGCAGCAGGAGGTGCAGCAGGCGGAGCGTGCATTGGCGGCGGCGGCGGTGGAAGCTGCCGGGGAGCGGTCCCGCGCGGGCGCCAAGCGGGAGGCCGCCGAGCACGTGCAGGTAGAGGCGGTGGCGGCGGCTGCTGCTGCTGACGAGGCGAGAGGCGATCTGGGGGAGGAGGCGGGCTCTGCGGCAGCAGGGAGCCCGAGCCTGGCGCAAGTGAAGAAGCAGCAGCGCAGCCTGCAGCGGCGGCTGTCTGCTGCGCAGCAGCGGCTGGGCGCGGCACACGGACTGGTCCATGAGCGGCGGCAGCAGCTGAGTGAGTACCTCCAACTGGCCCACAGCCCCAGCGCCAGCCCCGGCGGCGCCAGCAGCAGCAGCAATGGTGGCAGCGCCAATGGAAGCTTTTGCAGCAGCAGCGGCAATGGAAGCGGCGGCAGCAGCAGCAGCAGCGGCGGCGGCAACGGCAGTGGCAGGGAGGCGCAGGCCGGCGGCGTGGCTGTCGCCAGCCACAACGGCGGCGAGGGCCTGGGAGAGAAGCAGCAGCACAGCCAGGGCTTGCCTGGGGAGGGCAGCGGGGCGGTGTGCGACAGGTGCCTGCAGCCCATTAGCCAACAGCTCTTTGAAAGCAACGTGGCACGCCTAGAGGCGGCGGCGGCGGCATCAGCGCGCACCGCCGACAAGGCGGAGTGGAAGGTGGCAGAGCTGCAGCAGGCGGGCGAGGAGCTTGAGGCTGCTGCCGCGCTGGCAGAGGCCAGGGAGGGGCAGGTGGCGGCGCTGCTTGCGGCTGAGGAGGCCGCTGCCGCCCGGGCAGCCGCAGCCGCGGCAGCTGCCGAGGAAGCACTGGTGGCCGGTGACGTGCTGGCTGACTGCGAGGCAGCTGTGGCGGAGGCAGAAGCGGAGCTGGGGAGGCAGATGGCAGCTGCCCAGAAGCTGGTGGCCGCCATCGAGGCAGCCGGTACCGCCGCTGAGCTGGAAGAGCAGCGCCAGCAGCTGCTGCAGAGCGCCGCGGGTGCGGCTGGCATCGAGGCCGCAGCAGCCGCCAGGCAGCAAGCAGCCGATCAGCAGCTTGCTGGCGCCACCGCAGCGCTGCAGCAGCTGGAGGCCTCGGCTCCTGCAGCCGCGGCTGCGGTGGCGGCTGCACGGCAACACCTGCAGGCTGTGCAGCAGCAGGGCGAACAGACGGCCCGCCTGGAGCAGCAGCAGGCGCTGCTGCGGGGGCAGCAGCAGCAGCTGCGCCAGCGGCAGCTTCTGTTGCAGCAGCAGTCAGAGGAGGCTCGACAGCTGGCTGGCAAGCTGGAGGCGGCAGCCCTCGACTTGGAGCAACTCAGCGGCAGCGGCTCCGAAGGCAGTACCAGCAGCCCCAGCAGCAGCAGCAGCAGCAGCAGCAGCAGCTTTTCCTCTTCGCAACCAGGCAGCAAAGACGAGGCAGCAGACGGCCCAGAAGGTCAGTTAGAGGCGGTGGCCGCAGCGGCCGGCACCTGCCTGTCGGCGGCAGGCGACCTGCACCAGCGCTGGCTGTGGCACCGCCAGCAGCCCAACCTGCCTGCCAGGGACGCTGCCCTGGTGGAGCAGCAGCTGGCGGCGGCGGCGGCACAGGTGGCGGCGGTGGAGGCGCAGCAGGCGGAGCTGGAGGCGGAGCTGGCGCTGTGGAAGCAGGTGCTTTGCGGCTGTGTGCGGGAGCGGTGGGCGTGGAGTGGGCACGGGTTTGGAGGTGGCGGGGATCGGAGATAGGACAAGTGGGTGTGCCGGCGCCTGTGCTGCCTGCGCCTGTGCTGCCTCCCACTGCCCCCGCCTGCCAACTGTACCTCCCGCCAGGTGGACGACGCTTTCCTCCCTCGCGGCATCCCCAACTTTGTGGTGGAGGGCGTGCTGGGCGACCTGCAGGCAGCCACCAGTAGGAACCTCAGGTGGCCGGCAGGCGCTGCTGCTGGGGCTGGGGCTGGGGCTGATGGGCGGGATGGAGCAGCGGGTCATGGTGTGCTGGGGCTGCAGCCAGGGCCGGGCTGGGGAAGGAGGGAAAGGCGCTGCTCAGGAGCCACGCTTGCCTGTTGATGCCATTCACCGCCGCCGCCTGCCGCCGCCGCCTGCCGCCGCCGCCTGCAGCGCGCTGACGAGCGGCATGAGCCTGGCGCTCAGCCCCTGCAAGCCCGCGCCCGCCAGCAAGCGCAGGAAGGGCGGGGAGGAGGGCGAGGCCGCGGTCGGCACCATCGAGCAGATCGAAAAGGTGCGGCAGCCTGGGCAGGGCGACCGCCGCACCTTAAATCGCGGTGCCTCTGTGGCTGCCAACCAGCGATGCCAGCGGGGGGGCTGTGCTGCTCGCTCTCCCCATGCCTGCCTCCACACCCCGCCCTCTCTGCCCCGCCTCACCCCCCTGCATCCGCAGATCGTGCACGTGCGGCAGCCCGGCAGCCTGGAGCTGCGCCCGCGCAGTGTGCGCCAGCTGTCGGGCGGCGAGCGGCGGCGCGTGGCGCTGGCCCTGGCCCTGGGCTTCTCCGAGCTGGCAGCCCAGCGGGGGCGCCTGCGCAGGTGAGGGGAGCACAGCGCAGCGGAGCTCTTTGCACAGCTCAGCAGCTTGCACATCGCAGCGCAGCACAGCATGCAACCTTGGGGCCAGCTCGCGGGGTGCATGGTCGGCTGGGTGCAAGGCCCGGGCGGAATGCCGGTGATTGCAGAAGAAGTGGCACGGGCACAATGCTGTGCTGGGCACGGGCACCCACATTTTGCCCCGGATCCCTCGGCACACCACCACCGTATGCCCGCCAGAACCCCCCTGCCCCCACCCGCCCTCGCAGCAACCTGATTGTGCTGGACGAAGTGATGCAGCACCTGGACGGGGAGGGCTGCCTGCGCGTGGCGCAGCTGCTCAAGCAGGTATGGAGGCGGCGGCGGCGGCGGCGGCGCGTTGCATCGACTTGGCTGTGTCCTTGAAGCATAAACGCGAGTGTGTGCTGCCTTCATCCGGCACCTGCCACCCCACCACCGCGGGCCATGTGCCCGCCACTTTCTGGCCAGCACTGGCCGCCCGCCTCCACGCAAACCCCGACGTTCAAACAGATCCCCGCCTGCCGGCATGCCTGCCCCCTGCAGCTGCCGTATGCCAGCGTGCTGGTGGTGGCCCAGGCCCACAGCCTGCTCACCCAGGCCTTTGACTCGGTGGACGTGGTGGTCAAGGTGGGGGGGCACTCCCGCGTGGAGCAGGGCAGCGCTGCCGTCGTGAGCTGATGCAGACATACAATTTGAAGCAAGCAGCTGGCTTGTTGACTCGGCTCTCAGTTACAGCCACAGTGGTGCACCAGCTTGGTCGGGAAAACTGCTGAATGAACCTCTGGCATGAACACAAAAATGTGTGCGGTATATGCGCTATAGAAAGAAAAAGAAAAATGCGGTGAAGAAGTGTTGCCACGATGGGGCAGAACGAGTCTGGGGCGGTTGCAGCTCCGCCTGCCCACCCAGGCGCCAGTGTGGGGAGGAGAGGAAAATTGCACAGCGAATGATGATGGGGCTGGTAGGACAAGAGTCTGCAAAAAACAGGCTGAAAATGGGGGAAAAAGCAACAGGTGGGCAAAATGTGGGATGGAAGAGGAAAGAAGGATGAGTTTGAAGTTTGACAACGAAGCGGGACGTCTGCTATGGCTAAGGCACGGCAGGGCTGGCACAGGCGGCGCCGGCCGCGGCCGCCAGCGCCAGCAGAGGTTCCACCCCGGCCGCCGCCCCTGCCGGGTCTGCGGCGGGCACGGCGCCTGCCTGCTGCCGCGCAGCTTGCTGCGGGGCGCACTCCACGCCCGCGCTGGGGCCCGGAGAGCTGTGGGGAGGGCTGGGGAGGGGCTGTGGGCGCAGAGCGGCGGCCACCGCAGCCGCCGCAGCCTGCTTCGCCTGCTCCAGCTCCTGCTGCTGCTGCCAGATGTGGTGTGCTGCTGCCATGACCAGGTCCCGCTCCCACCGCAGCTCCGCCAGCTCCTGCTGCGCCTGCCACCAGGCGCGAGGGTCGCCTCCGGGCGCCGCAGCCGCCGCCGTTGCTGCAGCGGCCAGCTCCTGCTGCTGCCGCACGGCCGACATCTCTAGGCGTGCAGCCTCCAGCTCGCGATGTAGCGAGGCTGCCGCTGCCGTGGCCGCCGCTGCTGCCGCCTCCTTGTCCCGCTCTGCCTGTTGTTGTGCAGCTTGGGCATGCGCCGCGCGCTCCCGTGCCGCCTGCTCCTGCTCCCGTACCTCCTGTACCGCCTGCTGCTGCCGCTCCAGGCGGTCCTGCAAGGCCGCCACCTGCCGCTGCAGAACTTCCACCTCCTGCCGAGCGGCCGCCGCCGCCGCCGCCCCCTCGCTGGCGGCCGCTTGATACTGCAGCTGCTGCTGCAGCGTCGCCTCGAGCACCGATGTCACAAGGGTGGTGCGGCTCTCGGCAGCCCTGGCTGCAGCCCCCGCCTCCTGCAACTGCCGCCGAGCCTCCGCCACAGCCTCGGGTTCATGCCCTTGCCCCTGAGCTGCTGCACCGCCTGCCTCGCCGCCCCGCTGCTGGGGATCTAAAACCGCCTGCTGCCACCAGCGCAGCCGGTGCTTGCCAGACGGCGACTGCTGCTGCCCCTCAGCCAGCTGCTGCGCCTCGCCGTGCTGCGCCGGCCGGGGCGGGCTGGGCGTCTCCGGCGGCGATGGCTGGCGCCCAGCGGCTGCGGGGCGCTGCTGCTGCTGCTGCCGCCCCCGTCTCTGCGGCTTGGTGCGCTGCCCCTCATCCTCCTCTCCCTGCGATAACACATAGCATCCCTCGGAGTAGGCAAGGGCTGACTAGGTTGATGGCAAAGAAAGCTTGCATGCCCTCACCGCTCCTCAGCTCACCTCAGCTCCTCCTTCTGCCTCTACTCCGGGACCTTCCTGCTCCTGCCGACTGCGCTTGCGGCCGCCACCTGCCGACGGCTTTGAGCTGCCAGCTGTCGCACCAGCCTGCCGCTCTCCGCTCGACTGGGGACCGCTGCTGCCGCCGCTCTTGGCGCTGGCATCAAGGTTGACGGCTGGCCGCCGTGGCGGCGCTGCTGCATCAGAGGCAGCCTGCAGCGAGGAGGAGGCACGCGATAATGCAGTGGTGTTGGGCTCAGGCAAACACGTCTGCAGGCCTTGGCACACCAGCAGGCTGGAGCCGAGCAGGCGCTTCCGCGGCGGCGGCGCCGGCAACGCCTGGGAGTGCGCCTCGCACTGCACCCCTGCTCCGCCATATGTTCCACGACACCTCTTTAGGCTTGCTGTTGCTGTAAGTCAGTCTTGCACAGGACCTGCTGCCAGTGCGATGAGAGGGGCTGCCCAGGCACTCACCCCAATTCCTTTGCCCCTGCCGCGCTCCCCACGATCATGACGGCCCTTGGGAAGCTGCATGAGGGCGCAAAAGGTTGGGTTGAGCACACACAGCGGCCAAACGCATTTCGCTTGCTTGCCAACAAGCCCCAACCCGCTGACCGGATCCAAACGGAATGTCTCGGAGTCTGCGCTGTTGCCTAGGACCAGGGGAGGCAGCGAGCAGGAGCCGGGTGACACCGCCATGGCTTGGTGGCCATTCAAGTCGCGCTCGACAGTGAAGCGGAGGTGTTGCTTGATGCATGAATGGACAATCACGGCAATGGGCGGGGCCACGATTATGGGTGCAAGAGAAGGGAGCCTTTCCACCCCTCCACGCGGCCTCCACCCGCCGCCGCCGCCGCCATCGATTGGTGACATAGTCTGTCCAACGTGCCAGTGTTACAGATGGGTGTCAATCATATCATGCAGCCACGACTAGTACATGGGGTTGCATTATTGCACACAGGTACAGGGAGGCGCAACAGTGAATGTGCACAGGGAATGCTACAGGTGCTGTCGAGTGTGAGCTCACAAAGGTACAGGCCTGGCTCAGAACAAGCCGTGCTCGCAATACAGAGTGAACGGCAGGCGAAGCTCAGCGCTCGGCATGGAAGTAATCCTTGAAAACAAACAGGGGCTCCACCCAGGAGGCCAGACCCGCCAGCGCCACGCCCCCTAGCGCAACCGCGGCGCTAAGCGCCGGCGGCGTGCCCGGCAGCCAGGCTGCCGCCGCGGTTGCGGCGGCGGCGAGGCCCAGGCCGGCCCGCTGGCCGGTGCGGGCACGGGCCAGCGCAGCGCTGCAGGACGGGCAGTGCTGGGTGTGCTGGTGCAGGCGGTCCAGCAGCTTCTCCTTGGATTCCTCCTCAGGTGGCAGCCCGCCACCGCCCGCCCAGGGCAGCCCGCCCACGCCGCCTGCGCAGCCGCAGCAGCACGGGCCGTCAGCAGCAAGTGGCAGGCACGCCGATTGCCTTGCGCTGGCGCTAGCGCATCCTGCACGGCACCTGCCTTTCATAACAATGGCCAGCACACGCTTGCAAGCTGGAGCGCTCAGCGCCACGCATCAAACAAGCCAGCCGCCCACCACCAACCACAGCTGCCGCACACCCACCTGCCATGTCATCGAACCAGCGCCGGAAGGCGACCACCGCTCCGTCGGATGGGGTGGGCATGAAAAAGGCGGAGCGCCAGCTGCCGCCGGCCTGCACGTTCCACACCCGAGGACGCATCAAGGCACAGCGGCACAAGGCACAGCTGGCACCCGACCTATTGGTGGCAAGTGAGCCGCCGCTGCGCCTCCTCCATCCTGCCTGACGCCCGTGTGGCAACGCTGGCAGGCTGTGCTGTGTGGCGGCTCTGCCATGCTGGGCATGCTGTGCGCGCTGAGCCCACCTTCTCCAGCCTACGCTCCTGGCCGTGCAGCAAGATTAGGTCGCCGTCCAGAACCTCCTGCGCCGCCATGGCAACACAGTTGGCAGCAGCGGTAAGCGCCAGGGTAGGGCAGGACGGCAGAGAGGTCGAGGCCCTGGCAGCGCGGCCGCGCCGCAGCTCCGCCCGCAGCTCCGCCCAAGCAGCCCTGCCCCACGCCGCTTGGCCCGGCGCTCACCTGCGTGTACACGTGCAGCAGCCAGCGAGGGACGAGGCCCAGCGCCGCACGCAGACCGCCCGCCCCGCTGCCCGCCTCGGCATACGAGGTGGTGACCAGGAGGCAGTGGCCGGGGCGGGAGGGCACGGCGTAGCCGCACGTCACAAGCGAGCTGCCCTTGGCTGCGGCCACCCGGGCAGCGGGTGGGGGCAGGGAGGTAGAGTCGGGCAGCTGCCACTGGCAGGCGATACAGGCATGGTCGGGCTGGAGCCCAGGGTGGGCAGCTGGGTGGCCACGCATCACGAGAGCATGCACACAGGGAGCAACCACCGGCCGGCATGCACATGGTGCGTGACAGGGTGGTAGCCATCCCGTTGGCCCGGGCCCCAGCTCGCCTGGCGCGATGGTCTGCCGCACAAAGCAGGGAGGGCGGAACTCCAGACTGCGCCGCTGCACCTCCAGCTTGCGGCTGGAGGCGCCCAGGCTGGTGGCAAACCCTCCCTCCAGGCTGATCTCGCCCTGCAGGGCACAGACACAGCCCACGCGGTAAGACGCCAGCCGGGACTAAGAGCCTCGCGGGCAGGCAGACAGGGGATAGAGGATGGCCCTTGGGGTGGGTGGCGACATGCAGCCAGACGGGTGACCAGGCACGGCCATGCATGCGTGCCTAGGTGGCAGGTGCTGAGCTCTAAAGCAACAAGGATGATGTCAGGGCCCGCTACGCCTGCTATGCATGCCTGGCTCCCGCGCAGCGCACCTGCAGCTTGACGGCGTACGGCACCGCGTCCTCCCTGCGTCCCAGCAGCCCGTGGGGCGCCCACATGACGTGGCCTGCGCAGGCACCAGCAGCGGCGGGGGGGCAGGAGCCAGGTGATGGGTGGGGGGGCGCACCAGAGCTGAGCGACGCTGAGCATCGGGGTGAGGGCAGGACTGAAAGCAGCGGCGCAGGGAGGGCAGCAGACCACGACCACGCCTGCCGCTACGCACCAGGATCCTGCGGCAGTGTGAGCGGCAGGAGAGGCTGAGCGTGTGATCGCGGCGGTAGGGCCGGCGGCGCGCGATGCAGCTCTGCCCCAGAAGCCCCGGTACCCACCAGGATGTTTTCAATCATCGTGTCGAAGCCGTAAGGGCACTCGCGCACCAGCCAGCCGCCGCCGATGTTGACAAAGGAGCCGCTGCCAGGGGTGGCGCCGCCGCCGGCCCCTCCAGCCAGCAGGTCGGGATGCACGGGCAGCGGGGCAGCGGCGGCCTGCTCCGGCGCGCCAGGGGAGGCGTCGGGCCACACCCACACCAGGCCCGCAGCCTCGGCGGTGGGCTGGGTGGCGGCGCAAGCGCGGCGGCTGCCGCAGGCGGCAGCCTCGCTGCGTTCGTCCATAGCCTGCACACACAATTGTTGGTGGCCCCATGGCCTCAGGGGCAGGCTGCCGTTGAGAGCTCTCGCCAGCACAGCACGCAAGACTGGGCAATGCCGGCACAATTGGCCGGCTGGCTCAGCCGGGCGAGCGACACGCAGGCGGCACGGCCCGCGGCAGCAGCTGCCTGGCAGCCGCTCGGCACCGACCTGCGGTACGCGGGTGCACTTCCCGGTACCCTCAAAGGACCATCCGTGGTAGCTGCAGACCAGCTGTCCCTCGACCACGCGTCCCTCGGAGAGAGGGGCCAGGCGGTGCGGGCAGGCATCCTGGAAGCAGCGCCAGGCGCCGGCGGCGTCCCGCCACAGCACCAGCTGGCGCCCGAACAGGGTGAATGGGTGGGGCCGGTCGGTGGGGAGGTCAGCCGCCACTGCAACGGGATACCACTGCTGCAGCCAGGGGTAGGCAGAGGGGCTCGCGGCTGCGGCAGTGTCGGTGTGGGCGCCGGCATCGGGGCTCGGTTTGGTGGGGCTGCCGTTGATGGCAGCGGGAGCAGCCCGGGCGGCAGCGCGGTCGCTGCGCTGTGCGGCCAGGGGCTGCGCGGACAGGCGGCCTGCAGGAATGCATGAGACAGGGGCGAGGGGTTGTGTAGGGGCTCGGCGTGTTCAGGCGGGAGCCGCCACTGTTGGCGGGTGCCCACGCCCCGCGCCGCTGGCGGCACAACACACCTGGCCTGCTCCAAGACCGCCCTGCGATCGCGCGGTTGCCAATCGCCGGCGCTGCAAGCCGGCTAGGGCTGCGCGCCGCGGGCCCGATCATTTGTGGCGGGAAGCGAAGCGTTTTCAGTTGCCAGCTTGCCTCGTGCACGGGGCCGCCGCTGCTATCGAATGCACGCAGCATACATTGAGGTTTGGGACCGGGGTGGGACTCCCGGGGAGGGCCTCCGATGCAGGCGTGGTACTGCCGCACGCCACCGCAGCCACACCGCCACTGAAACGCCACTGGATGCTCTGGCAATTCCGGCAGCGCGCACTGCAATGTAAAGCGTGCAGTCGAGTCACACAATTTCACATACCCACAGCTCCACCTGCCTGGAAACGCCGTTGCCGCAATGTTGCCGCCCACACCACAGGGCGCCGTCGGCGACCGCCGTACTGCAGGCCGACCCATGGGTCCGATTTCGAACCCGTGCGCCGGCCCCAAGCCGTTCCGAAACGCCCCCATCGCCACAGGACCTGTCAGAGCGCAGTGTGGCCGCAAGGGAGTCCTTCCCGTCAAACCAGGCGGGAAATGATCGGTTCAGCTCCGTTTGGGCACGGGCCGGTGGCCTCGGCCCCTGCCCCGCAGAGCTTACACGCCACCCCCGGCAGCGTCGGCGCGCGCAAGGCCCACGCGCCGGGCCCAGCGCCGGCGCCCCGCCTCTGCCCTCCCGCCGCCGCCGCTTCCAGCACCGCGCCCGGCCCCAGCGTCCCGGCGCCGCCGGCCCCCACCGCCACCCGCCCGCTGCTGGTCATCGACGTCACGGGCC